TTTTTTTTTTTTTTTACAATAATTCTGGGGTGGGCCACGGAAAAACGGTATTTTAAACAATAACTTTTCATAGACCAACCCCCTCGCTCTCCACCCCTGTTTGCAGTTTAAATTACTTCTTCTCGATTTTAAACCTTTTTAAACTGATGAGGCTCGACGGACTGCAACAGATATGTCCCCAGTCTTTCACCGCCTCTTGCTCTCTCAAAATTTTCCTCACAATTCTTCTAAGAGTTTACCCATTTACGGTAAAAATCAAACTAGAATGTTTTTTAAGATAAAAATACTCTCAATTCAAAACCCTGTTTCAGTTTAGCGCTTACAAATAAGAAATAAATATAGACGAAGTTTGAAAATCAGGCCCCGTTCCGTACTACGGGCTTGCGCTCTACAGAGATCCCTGTAAAATTTCATGTTAAATTGGCTCATTTCATGTCAAATTGGTTTCAATTCGCAAAACTGAGGAAAAGTCGGCCATTTTACTCGCGACTGTGCCGCTCCTTCCTCCCGTGTTCAGAAAACCCATTAAAAGAGAAAGCCCATTGAAAAACAAAATGCTTAAGAAAAACAAACTGCCTGTTCAGACTAAGTCATTTACCGATAAATAGAGGAAAGTATTGCGAGGAATCGGTCACTGTTTCTCTGGTATGTAACTGAATTCCTGGAATATTTAACGTCCACCAAGTTAACATTGTTACCGATAAAATATTGTAGAATGCACCGAATTTCAGCCGTTCCTTTGAGTCGCACACTCCCGAGGGATCCACACATCTTGGTAACCATGCAATTGGGCTTTCCCCTTTCCACAGAATTGTCTGTATAACTTAAAGACTTAGTTTGTATGAAAAACTAAAATGTAGAACACTACAAGCTTTGACTTTTATTAGGGTCTGGTCAAAGGTCTGACTTCTTATGGGTCGAACTGAATTACAGTTTAGCTTGATGCCGCTGATCCCAATTACACTGCAGTATAGTTTGACAGAAGAACGTGCCGTGCCTCCCCAGTGAATTAACCGAACTTCATTGAGATATACATCAAACTAGTCGTGATAAACAATTTATCCACCGCGTTCAGTTCAACCTTTTATTATATCTCTCAGTTAGTACGCGCTGGGATTGGTCATTTTAACGGGCCGTATTCTACTGTACGGTCCGCTAAAATTTAAAGCTGTTTTTGTCGCCAAAGTGTTTCGTGATTTATCGCTACGTGTTCTTAACATTTTTTAGCAAGGTACAGTTTATTGTTTTTTTTACTTCTGAAATTGTGTATTAATATCTGCTAACGACTTTTAAGAGTCACTTAACAACGATTTCAAATTGACTCGCTTTGCTTTCGAGGTGCGACAGAAATTTGAAGTGTCGATGGGGAAAAAAATCTCGGTCCGTAACTTACAGTACGGCCCTCGAACTTGGTTTGGTTCTTGCCTTACAATAGGCAAACGTTTTCACACACCTGTTTTCAGTCTCGCAAGATTTTGCGTATTTGGATTAATCACACCTACACGGATATCACGCAGGTTTTCCTTCATGCAGCAGTTAAAGGCTGCTTTCCATGTGATCGATCACTACAAAAAAAGTAGGGTGAACCTCACTAAACGGATTTCCACAGATCGCTACGATCATCGAAATAAAACTGAAGTCTGTCTCGCTGCAGAGTGGTTTCCATATCGCTGAACCTCTTTGGCAGTGATCGTAAAGTTTATACGAAAACCAGCCTTCAAGGGCTATTTTCTAAAATGCTACCAGGAGAAAGAAAACAACAACAAAGAAAAAAAAAAAGCCAGAAACTTTGCAATTTTTTTACTTTCATGTTCGAACATAAAGTACACGTTTTTAAACTGTTTACAAAATTACTGTTCATCTTGGAACTATGAGGCACGTATTTCTCAACTAAGCTCGACTAAACATTTCATTATCACTTTTTTTCCTGATTTACGCGATACATTTTCAGGCGAATTAGCTGTAAGCACCTTTTTTATCTTATCTATAGAGGGTATCAAATAATTTGTTAATTCAATTCAATATAAAATTCTCCGCTACAATACTGTGAGAGTCCAAAAATTAAACAACAAAAATCGTGACTTCCTAATTGATAGAAAGCCATTTACGCGCTACCAAAAAAGATTCACTTATTTCACTGAATGTCCGATTTAGGTAACAATTAAAAATTGTCGAGAATTACATTCTGAAAGTAGGTTACGGTGTTTACACGAGTAGCTCGAGAAACAATGGTATCGCCTGTTATTGTCAGATGTTGCTCTATGACCTCAAGTAGTGTCAGTTTGCACGTGGTACAGGGACGAGAAGTTTAAGTCACGTGACACTGAAGACAATCAGTCCTGCCAGAATTCACTGAGTAAATGAACCTAATATAATTAATACGAAAGACGAACCTGAGGCAGTGCTTGTTGCACAATAGATCGTACCTCGTCCCGGGAACCCAGTGGATTCCATGTTAGGTTCAGGTCCTTCAGATTAGAAATGGATCTTAAGCTCTCCAGCAGACAATGTAAGTCACGTTCATCCATATTTAAGCTCCAAAGAACTAACCTTGTCAAGTTTGGAAAGAACTGAACGCGCTTGGTGAGTGGAGCAAGGCTACCCCTTGCGTTGAAATTCTTAAGATCAAGCCATTGTAAAGCTGGGAATGTTCCGTTCATTCCTCCAAACAGCGCCTCCATTTCCTCCTCTTGCAAAATGCTTCCATCCGCCCCAGTTAACTCGAGTGTTTCTAAAGACGACATTTCAGGAAGTGACCGACCGAGGGGCGCGGCTGCTGCTGGGGTCAGGCTTATATTATGCAGACTCAGTTTCTTAAGAGTTTTGCGTGAGATACTAGAAACAAGTTTGTTTACTGCTGCAGCACAGCAGTCACGTAACCGAAGGTAAAGAGCGGTGATGATGATAAATCGTGGTAACACACCAGCTAGTTTTTCTGCTTCCACTGATGTCAATGAGCACTGTGACAGTAGACTACCAATGTTCACACAGCACGTGCAGGGATTTGGTACTTGTTCCAGCAGTTCACACATACCGTCTCTGCATTTACGAAATTCAATGGTTTTCAAATGTTTACAGTTTCTGACAACTGCACCAAGGTCTTTCAATGTCTGCGCGTTCACAATTCCATTACAGTAAAGAGATCTTAAGAATTTCAAACATGACTGTTTTGAACACGAACTTTCGGAGCAAGATGGGGAAGAAATGGTAATAGTCTCAGTAAACAGTCTCGCATGGTCATCACAGCGCAGCCATAACCCTGTTACGTAAAACTGAGCTTTCCCATTATGGACACGAACGACACAATCAAAACGACACTTCGCGCATCCTACAGTCTTAAACTGCGTTAAAAAATCTTCAATCAAGAGAGCAGCAGAGTTCTCGGTTATTCTCAGTAGGTCATTTGAGCAATCGAAAAACTCCAGAACCTCACATAGCCTTGACATCCATTCCCTGTAACCATTACGACGTAATCTGTAAAAAGGAGCATCGTGTAAAAATAAAGCTTTACAGGAAGAATCTTCATTTACAATTCTCATCTTTGGTATATGTTCAGAAAATGGTCTCGCAAGGGAAATCAGGATGATCCCAGCTTTGCAATCTAACCAATATCTCGCCAGTGCACCTTTTGATTGAACTTCTTTAAAAGAATCGTCAACCAAGTCACTGAACCTCTCATGCCTGTCAGTGACGTCACACAGTGGCTCGTCTGTCTCGCTTCCTACATCTGGTATTGTCTTTGATAAATCCAGTGTTGGATCAGAGATCCTGACTGATGCTAAGTGCTGAAAAACGTTCCCTGCTCCATCGTCAGACAAACCGCAAACGAACTGGAAAACATTTTCCCAGGCTTTACAATTCTCCAAGGTACGTGTGTGCTGTTCAATTCCACCGAGATTTCCTTCAGGGACACATCTGTAAGAGATGAACCACGCTGCCAAAAATTCTTGAATGCTCTTGTGGATAAAGGATACCATCCCTGCTGGTCGAAGATTTTCTGCGTACTCGGTAACTTGAAGTAGGCCAATAATCTGACTCCCATCACAACGAACGGCAGCGGACAATTGATCATACTCGAACACATGATCGTCCTTCAAAAGACATTCCAACGCCACCTTTCCGATTTCAGCAAGAACATCTTCGAAATCGTGTACTTTGCCAAAGTGAGTAGGCGAATCTTTCCCTTGATTGTAATCCAAAACGTACTGGACGATCGCCAAATACAATTTTGTTTTGCTTTCAGGAAAGCTCTTCGACTTGCCCTTTTTCCACAGGGTGCAAAAGAAGAGAAGAAGAAGCGGAACTTTCGCTAAGTCTTCCAGGTATTGCCAATCAAGATGACGACTCAGCTCTCTTGCTTCTGCTTCGCCACCAAGCATTCTCCTCATAAAGGCCTTTATGTCCTCTTCACAAAACCCGGTGATCTCAGCATGCATGTCTTTAAACGTTCGTAGCTCGTCAGCTTTGGAAATTCGAGTCGTTATCAGGACACAACAGTTTCTAAGTTTCTTTCCTCTGAATATCTCGTAGATTTCAGAGTTGCTTCCGCAGCGATATTCGTCGTAGCCATCAAACACCAGCAGTACTTTGTCTTGGTTTTTGGTGATGTAACGTAAGATGCCCTCGGTCAAGGCTGTCTCTTCCTCCGAAAAAATGGAGGACTGACTTATGACGTCTTGGAAGCTCTGGCATTTGGACACTTCCTTGAGATTAACAACAAGAACGAGCTGGAACTTTTTTAAGGCATCTTTCTGA